CCGGCCAATAGACGGCTCGGGTGCTTGCGGTGAACCTTCCCTTTCAGCATCCGTCACTCCCTGCGCCGCACAAAGATCTGGCCATCGACACTCACTGCCTCCATCGGCGCCAGCTGAGACAACCGGTATGTCCACTGGGTGATGTAGGGGCTCCATCATGATGTCACTATCATAATAATCCTGTGCAGCTGTGCCATCCAAATTGTTGCCCTGCCATTCCCATCATTACATTTAGAAAGAAAGAGAATCATCTCTATTTTCTTCCAATTTTTTAGGAGAAAAACTGTCTAGAAAAAACTAATATGAGCTCCCAGCACTTAATTGTATCTCTTGTTTTATTATGCCACTCTATGGATATGGAAAATAAAATTGTAGGGCATAGGTGTTTCCTGCAAACTTGCTTAACAGCTAGCTTTTGCAGTTGTGTTTGTGATAAGGAAGGAACTAAAAGGGTAGAGATTAGTATAGCACTTACGAATTTACTTACCAACTGAATTTCTGACTGGCCCTCACTGCCAAACCAACTGAACTGACCCCAATCCGAGCTTCCTTTATAGATGAATTCCTATTAACGAAGGAAAAAAAATTAGCACACATATGTCATCCCCATAGCTCTTTAACGCATGGGCACAACTACATCACAGCTAGGGGACACATGACCCCCACCCCTAAAAAACTACAAAACAGGAAAACTTTATGGAGTAGACCTAGGAAGATATAGCTGCTAGTGAACAATTTGTATTTATATTGTGGTGAACCAATTGGGATCATCTATTACGGCGAACAATTTTTTTTAAACACCCAATGTTAAATTCCTAGATCCGCCACTGGTCAAGTCCAATGCACATTCACCAAGAAAGAGGAATGAATTGAGTAAAAGGACAACACACCCAATTCTCTTCCGGTAGCCTCTCATTAGGTTGCGAAGATGATGGCATTGTTGAGTTACCTTGTGATGGTTGTCCCATCTCTGGCAACTCTTGCTGCTGGTACTCTAGGGCTTCACGCTTTCGCTTTAACAACATGAATGCTTGGGGTCTTACATTATCCTGCTCCAACGCCCCATGCAAAGCCAACAACCTCTCATACAAACCCAAAGGTACTACGATATCCGTAGGTGATAGTTGATGTTCACTTCGTCTGTATGACTCTTGAAGAATGTTACAGATTTCGTTGGCAACCCTTCCTCCATCGGTTAGGTGTGGAAAGTGCCCCCTACTCTTGATCTTTGCTATCCTGGCGCTTATATTGTCCATGCTCTCCAACAAACAATTCTGTTCGTACGCAGATGCAACAGTATTTGAAACTATTGCGATGATGGTGCACGGTGTTGTTATGTTTGTCAATATGGGGCGCAAGTCGGTGTTGAACATAGTTGCGGACACTGATTGACAGACATCAGGTGCTATGTCGCACAACATGTTGTTCAGTTTTGCCTTCATATTCTGTTTGGCTTGAGGGAGCGCCATTTGGATATAAGTTTCTACACACTTGTCGTAATTTGTCCCTATGAGCGCATTCCTCCTACTGCATGTTGCCTAGAGTATCTTATCCTGCAGTATTTTTTTGCCACCATGCTGCATTAATTGTATACTTGTGAATAAGATTAGCACATTGTGGATATCTATCTCTAATAATGACATGACTTACTGGGAAAAAAAGTTTGTATTGATTACTCACCGGGGGAAGTGCCAATGAGAACGAGGTGGCTAAAGAGATCTAGGAATTAGCACGCAGAAGAGATAGTACATATGCATGCCCACCGGCGGATCTAGGAATTTAACATTGGGTGTTAATTTTTTTTGTTTGCCCTAATAGATGATCCCAATTGGTTCACCACAATACAAATACAAATTGTTCACTAGCAGCTATATCTTCCTAGATTTTACTCCATAAAGTTTTCCTGTTTTATAGTTTTTTAGGGGGGGGGGGGCATATGTCCCCTAGCCGTGATGTAGTTGTGCTCATGCGTTAAAGAGCTATGGGGATGTTTGGTTTGTGACAAGGCTGCCTTGGATTTCACGCTGTAGGTGGGATGATATGCAGAGGACAGTGGTATCCCCAACGTCTAGTTAGGAGTAAAAATGTTTGTGTATAAATAATAAATGGGTGCCTTGAATCAAATAAATAAAATCTCAATCTCCACTAAGTCTAGTTTGTGTTGGCGTTGAATAATCAAAGGTTGCATAATATTTCAAAAGAATAATACAATAAGGTGCAAGGGAACGAAGCCAATGGGCTGTTGCTGCCCACATGCTTTGCTGAAATAGTCGTATTGGGCCTGAATAGTGTATCTATCATATATGCCTATATATACAAAAAAAACTACAGAAATTTTTGGGCATACATTAGTACACCCATGCCCCATGCTGGATCCGCCCCTGTGTACGCCGCGCCTCCCCTGCTAGTATATATAAGAAGCTATGGGCAAGCCGGTGCGTTCCAAGTGCCTCCTTCCCACAACCAACTATCTCATAACAAGCGAGACATAGTCGCTGCTCATTTTCTCGGCAAAACCTATTTAACATTCAGTGGATCAAAATAAGAATTCCTTGCCCCAGACCATTCGTTCATAAAGCATTTTTCTTCATTTTTTTGGTGACTTTGTCCTTTTATCTCTAATGATTTCCTTCTGTTTAGAAGAAAAAACGTCTAGAAAAAACCAATATGAGCTCCCAGCACTTAATTGTATCTCTTGTTTTCTTATGCCACTCTATGGATATGGAAAATAAAATCATAGGGCAAAGGTGTTTCCTGCAAACTTGCTTAACAGCTAGCTTTTGCAGTTGTGTTTGTGATAAGGAAGGAACTAAAAGGATAGAGATTAGTATAGCACTTACGAATTTAGTTACCAGCTGAATTTCTGACTGGCCCTCACTGCCAAACCAACTGAACGGATCCCAATCCGGGCTTCCTTCATAGATGAATTCCTGTTAACGAAGGGGGAAAATTAGCACACATATGTCATCCCCATAGCTCTTTAACACATGTGCACAACTACATCACGGCTAGGGGACACATGCCCCCCCCATCCCTAAAAAACTACAAAACAGGGAAACTTTATGGAGTAGACCTAGGAAGATATAGCTGCTAGTGAACAATTTGTATTTATATTATGGTGTACCAATTGGGATCATCTATTAGGGCGAACAAATTTTTTTACACCCAATGTTAAATTCCTAGATCCGCCACTGGTCAAGTCCAATGCACATTCACCAATAAAAAAGGAATGAATTGAGTAAAAGGGCAACACAACATATTCTCTTCTGGTAGCCTCTCATTTGGTTGCGGAGATGATGACACTGTAGAGTTACCTTGTGATGATTGTCCCATCTCTAGCAACTCTTGCTGCTGGTATTCTAGGGCTTCACGTTTTCGCTTTAACAATTTGAATGCTTGGGGTCTTACGTTATCCTGCTCCAACGCCCCATGCAAATCTAACAACCTCTCATACAAACCCAAAGGTACTACGATATCCGTGGGTGAGACTTCGCCTGTATGACTCTTGAAGAATGTTACAGATTTCGTTGGCAACCCTCCCTCCATCGTTTAGGTGTGGAAAGTGCCCCCTGCTCTTGATCTTTTCTATCCTTGCACTTGTATTGTCCATGCTCTCTAACAAACAATTCTATGCGTACGCGGATGCAACAATATTTGAAACTATTGCGATGATGGTGCACAGTGTTGCTACGTTTGTCAATATGGGGCGCAAGTTGGTGCTGAACATAGTTGCAGACACTGATTGACATACATCAGGTGCTATGTCGCACAACATGTTGTTCAGTTTTGCTTTGTCACAAACCAAACACCCCCATAGCTCTTTAACGCATGAGCACAACTACATCACGGCTAGGGGACATATGCCCCCCCCACCCCTAAAAAACTACAAAACAGGGAAACTTTATGGAGTAGACCTAAGAAGATATAGCTGCTAGTGAACAATTTGTATTTATATTTTGGTGAACCAATTGGGATCATCTATTAGGGCGAACAATTTTTTTTACACCCAATGTTAAATTCCTAGATCTGCCACTGGTCAAGTCCAATGCACATTCACCAAGAAAAATGAATAAATTGAGTAAAAGGACAACACACCTTATTCTCTTCCGGTAGCCTCTCATTTGGTTGCGGAGATGATGGCACTGTAGAGTTACCTTGTGATGGTTGTCCCATCTCTAGCAACTCTTGCTGCTGGTACTCTAGGGCTTCACGCTTTCGCTTTAACAATATGAATGCTTGGGGTCTTACATTATCCCGCTCCAACGCCCCATGCAAATCCGGCGACCTCGCGCTCGCGGTCCTAATGTAGCTCTGCATCTCCCGCTCCTTCATGATGCGGCCTGGATGTCCGTGTCCAGCGCCTATTGCAGCTCCTTCACAGGCCCGTCCACCACTGCCCCGCACCCCTGTGCTCCGAAGGCTGGACCGCTCGAGGGGGTGGAGCTCGCAGCCGGATTTGAAGAGGACGCGAGCGCGGGTGAGGGCGGCGGCGGCGGCAACCCTAGCTGGGAGATCCGGCGAAGAATCAGCTGGCCACCCATCCTGCTTGCCCCCTTGACCGGTCCATCTGCAACTGCCCCCGGAGGAAGAGGCGGAGGAGAGAAACGAGGAGGAGCAGAGGGTGCTTCATGGGGAAGAGAAAACAGGGGAGGTGTTATCTGGCCGATATTCTTTTTTTTCAGCTATCTGTTTTTCTCCCTCTCCCGTCCCTAACGCCCACGTGGCATAGCTCCTCGCTCGACCCTTGCGCGACTGTTAATGGGTTGTATGGCTTGGAACAATGGTTTGCAACAAAACCTGTTTCTGTCTTTCAGATACCACACAACTATAGCAGTAGAAGAATTTCAGCACATATATCCGAAAGTAAATGCATATATTCAAATGAAGTGACAAACATCTCATTGATTGGTCCTGATGAGAAATAAAGATCTATTACAATGACACATCAAATAGTAGTTTTAAGAGTTTTATGTAGAACGACAAAGTCCAGTAGGGTATCCTTATATTCCGGATAACTTCGCATAATCCAGGGCTTTCTTTCCTTCTAGTTTATTTGCGAAATAAAGTCTTGCATACTCTTCTACTCCCACTGCTTTGTATAACATCTTCTCTTCTATAGTTCCCAAAATTGGTGAAATTATTCCACCATAGTTTGGGACATGAAATGCTGAAATAGATAGTCGCTCCTTGTGGGCATTTATGGTGACCCGATGCTCAATGCTCTTGTACTTCCCATTCGACAAAATCTATAATAATATAAAAATTAATTTAAACAAATATCAAGCTTCTCATCTATATCCTTGAAAAAACAGTCCATTATTCATAAAAAAGTAGGAAGTAGTTTGAAAAGTACACACAACATTGTACAGGAAAAACTTCTGTACAGACCATTCAACTATTGCTTCGTCAATAATCCAACCCTGATCTCTAGAAAAAGGTGCCTTTGCTTGTAGGGCCTTACTTTTTCCGCTTTACTCGATCAAGATTTCTTGGAAGGAACTGAAAGAACATAATTGGTAAACTGTTGAACATTTCCAATTTTTTTGTTTATCGTAACTTGATCCCACTGGCAAACAGAGAATAGGAACAACAGTAACCAAGTGGCTTGTCCAAAGAGAAATTGCAATTAGTGTTTTCTTCAACCATGAATGAAGTTTCTTAGCAGAGTTGGCTAGATGTAGGGCGAGGGCTACAAAGGCAGCTCGATGCCTCACTTGTTTGATTAGGTGGACCTTCTAGTTTTTTGTCCCTTCAAAGTCTCAAAAATATTTAGAAAATAACGCTAACGCTAACCCAAAGTTATGGTTATTTTTTGAACCAACATACAATGTGGTAAAAATAGTGACATGATCTTCAATAAGTTGAGAAGTACTTTCACTATTTCAGGTAGCAGAAAATTGTAACACATGATGACACATCGGACATAAGCACTTTCATTTGGTGTTGTGTGCGTGTGTGCGCAACTGCGCATGCGCGCGCACGTTCGTGCGCCTTGGAGTTTGTAATTAAGTGGGAAGAGCAAAGTTATGGAATTGAGGATTTATCTTCACCCAAGCACAAGTATGGATCATAAAAAAAATGTTTTCTTGTCTTATATGATAATTAATTTGAGAGAAATCCATGCACCAGATCTTCTATTTGTAAGCCTTGAATTGATTATTAGTTGACTAACTTAACATGTCTTATGAAGCATACCTCAAGAAGGTCACCCACATTCACCAGTAGTGCATCATGACGTGGTTTCACAGGAATCCATGCACCAGATCTTCTAATTTGTAAGCCTTGAACTGAATTAATTTCTAGCAGAATAGTCAGAAAAGATCCATCAGAATGCGGTGAGAAGCCTAGCACCTTTTCTGGCATTGACGTGCATGGAGGGTAGTAGCTCATCCTAAGAAATTGTGCCACATGTTTGTCTGCCAGTAGTTCAGGAGCAACATCTAGTGTTTTGGCAATGAAGACATTAAGGGTTTGAGCGAGTTTCATCAGCTCCATTGAGTAATCTTCAACAGAATTCCTGGGATCATAACCATAAGAGTGTTTGTATGTTAATGCTAGGTATTGGTACATACTGAAATACTAGGAGCTTTGTATGACCGGACCTAGCTTGTGTTAGTATCAAATACAAATAACAAGCCCAATTGTTTTGTTGCTTGTATGATCCCCGGTCTGGCCCTTTGTTGGGCAGTACCTTGAACCATATAAAAACTTAGCTGCTAGATATTTATGATGAAAATATTACCCTGTAAAATGTAAAATCAGTTTATTTTGTCAGAAAACTCAATGTCCATTAGTTCCCTTTGTTTATTTTCTGGATTTCAGTAAATTTTCAATATATAAGCTTTGTAAAGAACATTTTGTTGAATTCACCAAATTGACCAGGGCATGGTATAACTCAGCAATAAATGTAACAAATTATTAGGGTGTTGGTGAGGTTGGTGTCATTCTATACACGTGTGTAAACATAAAAGAATCATAGTAGTTTACTTTGAGTTCCTAGCCTAGTTAGGAGTAAAACAGTTTGCGTATGAATATAAACGGGTGCCTTGAATCAAATAAATAAAATCTTAATCTCCACTAGGTCTAGTTTGTATTGGTGTTGAATAATCAAAGGGTTGCATAACATTGAAAAGGAATAATTCAATAAGGCCAACATAAATGTTTGGTCCCATCCTCTTTTACCTAAGAGTTTATATTATTAGCTAATAAATATTTTGCATGAAACAAACACACAAAGTAGTTCATATGAATAAGGAAATCCATAACAAAATCATGCTTTGAATGTCACACACCAAAACATGGCACACTGTAGCAGTGAAAAAGAATGACCTTAGTTCAAAATTCTGTTCATTGTCACAAAAGATTATGTGTAACCAATAAAATCCTGTAAGTTTTCTTAATCTAATCTGGATTTAACTTGAGTTTCTGGCCAATTTAATTTTTTCTTAATATTGTGCTCTGAATAGAAGGAACATTTTCCGGCCATTTCTTATCCATCTACAAATTTCAAGCATACACAGTCTGACCTGAAAGTATGGGGCTGACTTGGCCAATAACTCATATCACGGCCTTGGGTTGGTTGGGCGAAGAGGGCAAGCAGGTCAGACCAGTCTAGCTTTTGATCATCAGAGACAACAAACGCTTGGCCATAACCTTGAAGATCCCCTGGCCGCTGAGCATAGGCATTCTTAACTTCTAACGGGAGTTGAAAGAACTTCTGAATATCATGCTTGATACCCGTGATGACGTCATCTGGTATTCCATGATTTACAACCTACAAATTTCAAATGTTGCACAAATGGTCATGCTTAATCAAACATACTTTTGAGCGATGGAATGATCGAATCTAGTAATTAATAGAGTTTTTTCTAATCTCTAGGCCAATTCAGAATTTTGTCCTTGAATTCCAGTATGAGATATCCCAGGCCTTAAACTTTTGAAACTTGGCTAATCTAGTCACTAACCATGATCAAAGCAATATGAAAAATGAAGTCGTGATGATTTTCCCCATGTGGAGCCGAGTTGCAAATAAGTGGGGGGAAATTGAACAATCGATAATAAAAATACTACGAAAAATTCAACGAGAAAAAGTCATATAATTATAAAATATGAATAAACTAAAAGTTTGTGAACTAAAGTAAGTTAAAAATACTTTTAAGTGGAAATATTCTCTCTTGACCACTTTCATCAAGAATGACACCAACCTCAAGCTTCTCTCTTGACCACTTTCAGAAATTTGTTGTGCTTGGAGCCACTTTGTGACTTCGTTCTTCTTGAGGACGTCGAGGATGATAGTACTTGGATGCACACTACAACAGAGTCTACTCGGCGGAATCCGTGTACAATGCTTAATTCTTTGGCACCGACCATTCCCCCATGGAGCATGTTGTCTTGGAAGTTTGGGTGCCGCCTAAAATCAAGTTTTTTGCTTGGTTGGTCATCCAAAGTTGGATTTGGGCCGTGGATAGGCTGGCCAAGCGCGACTGGTCAATTCATGGTCTTTGCCCTCCATGTAAGCAAACTCAAGAATTGGCGGACCACCTCTTCTTCAAGTGTGGCCACTTCACGCTCAGGATTTGGGGCATGATGAAAGGATGGCCATAATTAGCATATATCAAAACTTTGAACCGGCACTTGTTGCAATCCACCAAGGAGTGGTGGGTTGGCTTATCTAACGAGACCGGAAGGCAATGACCTCTCTAATCATGCTCATCTTTTGGGCAATTTGAAACGAAAGAAACACACGGGTCTTTCGGAACAAAAGTTTTTCGTAGTATTCGTTGTGCTCGTGTGGTGCTTTAACATGCAATTAGACGATATTTTTGCCTAGAAATTGAGGACATAAAGAACTGGTTGGCTAATATGGCATCAAGTTGAGTGCGTGGCGCGTAATTCTGCATGTAAGTGGTCAGCAATTTACAGTAGTGACGCACCTGAAAGAAGCCCCATTCCGCGCAGGCAAACCTGAGCTTCGCGACCTCTGCGTCGACGGACTCGGAGCTCAAAAGGTTGCTGAGGTCGATCACCGGAACCTCACCGGATTGCTCGGAGAGAACGGCATGCGCGTCGATGTCCGGCTGGACGTACCGTTCGATCTGGTCGGCCGTCAGCTCGCCGGCGGACGCCACCAGGGCCTGGACGTTCGCGACGGGAAGCGACGTTCCCAACTTCGACCACCTGATCTCGCCGGTGCCGCCACTCGCTGCCTCCACCTCCATCGTAGCTAGCTAGCTAATTGTTCCCTAAGTGTTTCTCGCTACTAAAGTTGCAGGGATCCAGCCATCGATCAGTCTATATATAGTGTTAATTGACCTGTGATGTTTTTTTCCTTTTGATGACATCTGAGGTGTGCTGTGATGTTTGTTACTACATGAAACGGGTCAGAAAATGCGAATGATTCCTCGACCGGCTCGCCTCCAAGGCCGTCCGATCCATGTGTTTGGACTTAGCGCTCGATGCTACAAAAAAATGGCCGGCGGCTAGTGGCCGAATTTAACCGGAATAAGAGCATCTACAGCCGCATCACTAGTAGAAAACAGGGCATTTGTCCCGGTTGGTGAGGGTCTTTTGTCCCGGTTCTTGAACCGAGACCAAAGGATCGTTACTAATGCCTCCCCCTTTAGTCCCGGTTCTAACACGAACCGGGACATATGAGCCTCCACGTGGCCGGTGCGTCGAGCCCAGGCAGGAGGGCCTTTGGTCCCGCTTGGTGTCACCAACCGGGAATAAAAGGCATCCACGCGTCAGCATTTCAGTGGCTGGGTTTTTTTTTGAAGGGGGGGTTGGGGTTTTTGAGGTTAATTTAGGTGTTTCATATATTGTGTTAGCTAGCTAATTAATAAAGAGAAGTGTCCTCTCTTATGTCCGTGCTTGGTCGACGCTACGTATTGTACATAGAGAGACCCTCGACACGCTAGCTAGTAAAAAAATGAAGGGAACCATTAAATACAGAAGTTCGTCATGCATACCGAGAGAAGTGATCGATCGACCTCTCCTTTCCCGAGAGATTGGTCGAACAACAAGTTTCCATATTATCTTTCCGACGCTACTGTCTACATACATATATAATATGTAAGATCTCTTACAATCCCCTAGCAATTGAAATCAACTTTCACATGGTATTCTTGGGCTTTATTGATGACGTGGTCAAGAAACAATCCCGCCAATTACTCTTGAATTGCTTTCATGCGATCTTGTTCTAGGAGTTCATTCCGCATCTGCCACGTCTAATTTGAAGAAGGGGGTTAATACATATATGAATGAAACTCAACAGAAATGATGGTGTAATAAAATGAAATTGTGAATACTATTGCTTACGCACTTCATATTGTCTTTTAGAGTAGCCCCGCTTGTTTTTCAAAATCGCGTTGTAGATGAACTCGCACACGTAGTATCCACAGAAATTATTCCCTTCTTCCTGCCACAAGCACTTTACGAGAAATAGAGGTCAATCAAACTGATAATGAAACATTATAAATGGCATTGATAAAAGTACAGCTATGGAATCAACGGGAGATGCACGCAACTAGCTAGCTAGTAGTACTTACTTCCGGGTATGTATATCGCAGCTCCTTCGGCAGTCCCGGAACTTCTGCGGTGAACTGTTTCCAAACCCTGCAAGATAAAGAAAATAATTATTATTACTTGAGATATCAGAAAATGAACAAAAAGTTGCCGATATGGTGCAATAATGATCGATTGAACTTACTTGTTGAGCAAATTAGTCATGTCCGCATAGGTTTCCGGATCTTTGCGTCTCGAGTCTAAGACGGTTACTACTCCCCGCTCAAGCTTAATCTCCAGAAGAACATAGTGGAAGCTGCGCACGCATGTATAACTCATCAATTACATTACTATAACCTCGCTCGAGTAATAAGGGAAACCGAATATGCACACGACAGTAACACTCACTTGAAGTTGTAAGGAAAGAGTATTAAATCTTTGTTTTGATTTTTGATCAACGATTGTAGCAAGTTGGCCTCGGCCTCTTCGGCGTGCTTTTTAACCTGAATTTCATCTATGATATTTAATGAACCCAATATCATAAATTTCTTGTTTTTTGCACTCGACGATCTTCAATCTGCATAATATAGTGAGGATAATTAATTATAAATACATGCAATGAAAGAGCCGAGCTATATGTAGAGACTTAATGACAGAAATAGTATTTATAAACAGTAGCAAAAGAGCGTTAATTTATCAAGGGCCTTTTGATTGAAGAACTCGAAGAAATCCTCAAATGGAACAGTCAACAGATCAGTTCCAACGAGGTCGTGCTCCTCTTTAATATTCAGATACAAAGCATTCGTCCCCCCAGACTCTCTGCAGGTTTTCATGTATCAATTATGGAATCTTCGCATCATCGTTGTTAGAGATTTCTCATCTTTGACAAGAGGCTTCCCGTACTCGTATCTGTGTTCGTCCACCTCCAAGAAATCAGGAAGTTGATCATCAGACAGGTAATCTGCAAGATTGCCATAACCGGCCACCGTCCTCGGAGCATTAGTGACGATGTCGCCGCTAGAAACATTGAGCGGGGGGCACGATTGCTTTGCTTGTTCACCGAGCTGGGCAATTTTTTTCCCAGCTGCTCGTTTTTTAACCTTTTATCACTGACAGTACTTCCCGACCGCTCCGCTTCGAGATATGTCTGTTCAGTAATGCGCTCATAGTTGGTTCTCGGCGGAGACTCTGGTGGTTTTCTCAGGGCATCGATAGTGCGCTTTGCTTTCACCGGATCTACCTTCTCCTCCGGACGTGGATGTCTCTTTGCTTTCAACCCTTCAAAGAAGTCGTCCACTTTCGCCTGCACGATCTTCGCGTTTTCCTCCTTGGTCCTCTCGTACGGTAACTTCTCTAGAGGCTTGAGAGAAGGACCGTATTTGTATTGCCTCCCGCCTCTGCTGGCTGTACTGCTAGGCGCCGGAGCAGACGGAGCGGCTGCGGCGTCTGTCTTCTTTCGTGCTTGCTTACGAGGCGGAGGAGAAGGACTACGACGCGCCGGAGCAGCCGGGGCGGCGGCGGGTCTCTTCCGCCCTTGCTGGCGAGGCGGAGAAGGAGGAGGCTGCTGGCTGCTCGGGCGCGCCGGTGTAGGCGGAGAAGGAGGCGGAGTGCCGCCACGCGCCGGAGAAGGAGGCCGAGTGCCCTGATAGTCACTCGCCGGAGGAGGAGGCGGTGGAGGAGGTGGAGTGCCCTGACTCGCCGGAGGAGGAGGAGGAGGCGTCCAGTTCGGAAGCTTGATGAACTCCTTCCGCCATAGGCATGGAGTCTTCAGAGCAGAACCCAGCCGAGTCTCCCCTTCACCGGTAGGGTGATCAAGCTGGAGGTCCTCAAATCCCTCCATTATTTCGTCCACCGTCACCCTAGCATATCTTTCTGGAATCGGATGACAGTGAAAAGTTGCATCGGGTTCAGAAGGTCGAACTTGGCCGACAGCCGCCTTGACTTTTAAGTTCTGCCATTGCGTCATAAGGTGGCAATTTTGAGCCTCCGTGATAAAATCCACGGGGTAGCTAGTAGGATCCGTCAAGACATGCTCCGGCTGAAGCAGCTCGGTGGAAG